TTAGCGACGTCCGGCACACCAAACACGGACCCGGAGTAATATCTTCCATACAAATCACCAACCCAGAGCAAACAGCATGCTTTGCAGATGTTGCTGACGGCAGAGGGAGCAGGAAGGCCCAGCATGCGGATCTCTTGCTGGGCGAGCCGATTACTGGTGTGCGACTTAGCGGCGCAGTTTCCTGATGGACAAAAGCAGTGCTGTGGACGGCCTCTCCAGACTACCAACAGCAATGGATCTTACCGGAGGATGATGAGCAGCTGAGTGCAGCGGCAGTCATCGACCGCATAGAGCGGAAGGCGACGGTGGACCAGACGGAGCTCAAGAGGGCGGTCGAGCGGGATCCAGTGCTGCAGGAGCTGCAGAAGCAGATATCTGATAGGTGGCCGACTCGTTACCGAGACTGTTCCTGCTGTTGCAGCCGTACTGCCGCTGTCGAGTGGAACTGCTGGTGGTTGACGACGTGATCCTGAAGGGGCAGATGTTGGTGTTTCAGACGTATTAAAGAGACGGCCCATCGAAGCAGGCACGCGATGGACACCAAGTATGATGCGGACAAGGCGGAGAATGAGGGAACTGTATTGGTGGTCGAGATGAACTCAGAGTTGGAAGAGCACGGGAAGCTCTATGAGGCATTTGCTATGTCTGACTATATCCGCTCCGCTATCGCACGCAACGTTCCGCTCACACCAGTACCGCTTCCAGGAGCTAGCTGGTCTATCGTGGGAATCGACTTCATAGGGCCGTTGGAGAACGGTGTAGCGCAAAGACGTTTTGTGATTGTGATGGCCAGCGACTGTGATGACCAGTTTTGCGACTGCGATCGGGTTTTTGTTCGCCTCCCTCCTCACAGGCTGTCATGGAGTACTTGGAAGACCATGGCCAGCCGGGAAGGCTACATGGAGGAGTTGGTGTCTCATAACGGGAGACTTCACTTCACAAGAATATCGAGATTACCTGATGCGCGTAGAGGCAAAGCCGATGGTGTGGGATGATATTTCAAGCCTCATTTCGCTGTCCAGGGGCCCTATGCCGTTTCCGGGGATCTATATACTCACTTGCAGAGTCCTTCTGATCGTTAAGCAGCCTTCCACTTTGCCCCGATTTTAAGTATTTTCTCGGAGGGCCCTGCGCTGTTGCCGGCGCCCTTTCTGCCAGCGTGACAAGACCCTCTTGTCAATCAGGGGCATTCCACAGATTCCTTTCCGCTCGCCAGAAAGGCTCTGTACGCTATTTATAGGGCCCCATATGTAACCTGCCGGCGTAAACTCGGTTGCTCAGGAGCCCTTTCTGTCGGTCTCGGTTAACCTATCGACACACGATATGCTCATGGGCCTTCTACATTAGTCTAGAGCGCATTCTACTTCTCCGCCACTTGCTTAGGTCCCTTTACTCTTGTCGGGCGCCCATCTGTTAATCTCCTTGGGCACATTGGCTCTCTGCACTGGGTTTTGGGTACTTCTTATTTGAATGGAGGGCCCTACGCTCTGGACGGGGGCCCTACCTGTTAACATGCTCTGGCGCACCCGATCATTCGGGGACGCTCTTTAGCGTGCCGTCGGTATTTCACATTTGAAGGAAGGCCCTACTCTCTTGTCGAGGGCTCCACCCGTTAAGCCCTACTTGGGCACACTCGATTGTTCGGGGGTCCTCCACATTGTGTCTTGGGTGCTTCCTATTTGAGTGGAGGACCTTACGTACTTGTCGGGGCCTCCTCTGTTCACTTCTTCGGTTACACTGGATTGTTCAGGGGCCTTGTACATTAGCTCTTGGTGTTTCAATTTAGGGCCCTACGCTCCTGTCGGGGGCCATCTGACAAGCTGCCCAGGCGCACTCCATCCTTCGGGGGTCCTCCGCACTGGGTTTTGAGTACCTTTTATTTGAATTAAGGGCCTTACGCTCTCGTCGAGCCCCTTCTGATGGGCCGGTTGTGCACATTCAGTCGTTCGGGGGCATTTACATTGTGTTTTGGGTACTTCTTATGTGAATGGAGGGCCCCACGCTCTTGAGTGGGGCCCTATCTGGTAATTTACCTTGGTGCACTCGATCATTCGGGCCCTCTATATTGTGTAGTGGATAGTTCAAATTTTGAACGGAAGGCCCTACACTCTTGATGGGAGCCCTATCTGTTAACCTGATCTGGTGCATTCGCTCATTCTGGGTCCCTCCATATCGTCTTGAGTGCTTCTTGCTTGAATGGATGGCCCTATGCTCTTGGCGGGCCTCATCTATTAAGCTGCTCGGGCCATTGGCGGCGACAGGGGGAGGGGGGGGGGGGGAGAGCACCGGAGCATGTCCCATGGACCATGCAGAGGGAACTGATAGGCTTGGAACTGGCGAATAAGCGGCTGGACGAACGCAGTTTGCTAGTTTTAAAGAAAATGCAATAAAATTGGACGTATTTGGGGCTAAAGGCGACATAGAACGGTTGCAAACGAAAGTAAAGCGTTTATAAGCAATCAAATTTTAATCTTTACTGATTGAAAGGGCGGTACTTAACGGAAATGGTGGGACCCATTATGCTTTCCAGAGGCCTTACGCTGTTGCCCGGGCCATACATGTCGTCTTGCCCGGTCAATCTGATCGCCAAGGAACCCTTCACGTTACCCTTCATCTCTTAACGTTTTTTTCTATTTTTGCGCACGATCTCAACGCTGCTGTTGAGACACTATCTGCTTCCATACCTGGACACTATCTGCTTGCATGTCTGGACATTCTTGATCAATCAGCGGCCCTCCATCGATTCTGCCCTTTCGCCCGAAAGGCTCTATGCGCTTTTTCTGGGGAGCCATATGTAAGCGTACACTTAGCTGCTGAGGAGCCCTTTATATTAGAATTGGGGTTTTCCACTTCCTCGGAGGACCTTGTGCTGTTGTTGGGGCTTATAAAAGGTAACGCACCGAGACACTTGATGCTCAGGACCCCTCTTCTTTGATCGAGGACTCCTCTCCTTTGATCTTATTTGCGGAGGATTGTTCACTTCTATCAGGCTATTTTTGAAACCTTTCCGGGCACTTTTGATAGCACAGGGGTATCAAGTTATGGTCTTGCATAATTCCCGTTTGCTCAGAGGGTCCTGTGCTCTGGCCGCGGCCTTATATGTCAGCCTGTCGGGGCACTATCGATCGTTTAAGGGGCCACCACGTTGGTCTTAGGTTCTTTTCACTTGCCCCGAGGACCCTATACCTGTTGTTGGGAGCCTCTTTGTTGGCCTCGTCGGACACCCATGATCGGTCAGGTTCCGCCTCCATTAGCCTTGGTGCCATAGCCTTAGATAGCAGTTGTATATGCGCCAGGTGAATTGTTACGAGCAATTGTCGAAGGTAATTTTACATGCCTCCGACGTCGCATGTGTCATTTCCCCTGACGATTGAACGTGTTACACTTATCAAACTCGTGTATCATGTTCTAACATATTTTGGGTGATAGAATACTTTGTTCTCGTTTATAACAAATAAAAAATATACTTTAGTCATCAGTCAGCAGCTAGTTACATCGCCTAGCCCGCTGGCCGTAAACAAGCTAGGGGTCGAGTCCGTGCTTGGTTTTAAGGGTACTTAGCAGCCGGCTTGAGTTTACTTTCCCTTTTTTCCGAAACACTTGGTACAAAGTCACAGGATTTAACGTGATCTGGAGGAAGTCAATGAGCTCCATGTATTTGGATGCAGAACATGCCACCCTTTAGCACAGTAAGATGGGTTCCTATATTGATATGCATCTACATACATACATACATACATATATATATATATATATATATATATATATATATATATATATATTTCTCCGTCATCTCTCCGTCATCTCCGTCTCCGTCATCTCTCGGACAGCAAATAATAATAATAAAAATCGCAGCCGTGGAAGGCTGCGGAGACCGGAGACGGAGAAAGACGGAGAGATGACGACGGCGAGATGACGGAGACGGAGATGAAGGAGAGATGACGGAGAAAACGCGCGTGAAACAACCCATGTCGAACGCGATCTCCACCTTGCCTCACGCTCTATCTTTGATCCCCTGACCTGATCGAATTCGTATCATCATATTCGGCTTTAGCGCTGCAGATCACACCATACAACACTTTTGAGCAAAATTTGTGGTTTGATATTGTAGGAAATTTGGTCACAGGTGGGTCAATTTCACAGAAAGTTGCCAGGCAGCCAGAGTAGTTCTCCATATACGTCACATCAGGGATGCCGAACACCAATAATCCAAACACTAAAACGAAGCGCCTGGTGGCGTCCTGTATTTTAGGTCCTTGGCCGTAGCCGGATTTGGGCCGTTTCTCGCGTTTCTCGGTTGTTGTTGAGTGATGGGTGGGGTGTGATGGGGTGGGCAGCAGAGATATGCTGCGTATTGACATTGCCTGGCCATTGGTTCATCGATTTTTGCACGGGTTCCCTGGTTGATGGTTTCAGATGTTTGAAAGATCTCCAAAAACAGCGTTTTAATCATTTTGAAAGGTATTGTGGATGCATGAAGTATTTAGGGCACGGTCATCTCACCATTTGCTGCGCTTAGGCGCGAATGTGTTTTCTAGTCAAGATTTTCTGCCTGCTCTTAATACATGAAAGTACTTAATTTGTAAGTAACGTTTAGTTTTTAGGTGCATTTGTGAGGAGTATCATGCATATAAACAAGATGGTACCAGTAACCTTACTCCTTGTAGGGATATCCAGGAAAATGGGAAGATAGGATGTGTTTATATGCACCCATTCAATAATGTATCTTCCCATTATCAAATTTCTATTTGGCAAGTAGGTATGCTAGTAGTCTGAGTAATAAATTTAAACTCTTGTGTGTGTAATCCTTTTACCAATTAACCAACAGTCACAGCATGCCACCCAATGGCAAGTTGTGGACAAGCACAATGATGATATATGTTTTGCTCATTTTGGTCACACCTAGCCCCAATGTTTTATGTGGAGTAGTCATATTTGATTAAATTGTGAAGGTCCCCCTCGTAATTAGGAATGTCATATGACTGCCTATTATCAGTGTGGCTCGTCTTTGAAACATGATGGCTTCCTGCTCCATCTATGATGAATGGCTGTTAAGGACATCAAGGTTTGTGCAGTTTTAAAACTTGCTTTTCTGAATCTGGATTAGCTGTGTGTTGTGGGTGGGGCTCAGGTGTCGGGTAACATTTCAAGGTCTCAAAACAGGATCAGGTCTTGCGAGGTGTAGAAGACCACCAATTACTCCTTTGTTCTTGAAAATATAATTGTTGTATGGAATGCTTAAAAATTAAATGCACCTGTATTATGCACATCTGCTAATTTTTTGTGCCTGGAATGGTGAAGTTTGCATGGAGTATAACATGCTGGGAGTCAGTGGTGTTATCTCATTTTGCATGGCGATGTCTATATAAAAGATAACCACTAAGCAGGATGTGCAATGTGTGTGTGTGTGTGTGCAAGTATTGCTAGGATTCTGCTAGTTAATTAGCATTTATCCACTCAAGTGGCAGGGATGTCAATATTATTTCATGGTTATACATCCATGGCTGATGATTCTCTGCCTGTTGGTCCTCCTGTTGCTAAAAATCAACCAATCAGCACCAGACTCCTGTTGGATGAAGGTTATCCTAGCACTGTGGGGTCTCAGACTTGCTGAATGTACTGTGCAGGTCAGATGTTTCAGGTTCAGAGTCAGAGGGGCAACTCATTAGCAGCCAGAAAAGTGTTGTACATGCAGAGGCAGTTTAGGGGCCAGAATTTATGTGGTCTGTGGTATATTTACATTAACATTAGAAGTAACATAAGTGACATGTGCTGAAACTAATTGTGCTTTTGTTATATACATTTTGAATAGTTTTCATGATAGTCACACTTTGACACACCAATGTAACTACATGTATAGGATCACAGGATCAAATCAGAATTGAGGGCAGTTAAAACTGGAATTTTGGGAAAACTACCTTACCTAAATGTTGACTTTTGTACAAAACATGCCTTGTGATCATGTCAATGGATTGAACAAAATTTTGGGAAATTGGGGTATGTTCCCTCAGGCACCTCCCAAGCTGTTCCAGCCACTGATTTGATAGGACATACCTGTGGGGCAGAGCTTGTTTACATTAATCATTCACTCATTACTGAGTTCTGAGGTTCATTCCTTTCTGCAGATGATTCTTGAATTTTGGGGTGAAGCATTGTGCTTAAGCTTCAGGCTATTTTGGGGGTGAAGAGTACATTCTTTTATTTTGATCATAGTTGATTGCCTAGAATTTGTTCATAACTGAATACTAACATCAGTTTGTATGTCCAGACAATTCTGGGATGTGGGATAAGTGCTTTCATTTGCATTGTGGGTAATTGTCCAGAATTGTGGTGCCTTTTTTCCAACACTGGACCTGTGGATGGATCCAAAGGATTAGGGCAACTGGGCTGTGACCCCCACAATGGCCAAAGCCTGGAGAAATGTGGCATGCTGTGGACTTGACAGGAAATTGAAGCAACTTTTATGGTGGGAAGTTTGTTTGGAAACACTCCTGTGGTGGTAACAGAAAGCAAAGTCTACAATTATTAAAGATATGGGTCAACCTTTTTGGATTCCTCCCAGGATGGTATTCTGAATTCAAATAAGATGTAAAAAGAGTCAATAGAGTATGTGATGACCCTGTATGTGTTTAAATAAACAATGGTATATCACCAGGTCCAATCCTTGCAGCTGGACAACATCAATAGATTGGTCCCATCTGACTCTGACTGCAGACCCAGTTTTCCCAGATTTTTCTCTGACATGTCAGCTAGCTCATGCAAATTGTTTGTTTTTGTGAAACTATGCCATAGCTTCTCCTGGCTTGTGTGAGGAGTATGGCTTCTCCATCACTAGCTTGCTAGGTTATATGTATTTTTATAGGCCTAGTTTTATCTACCTGTGACCAAGATGACCTCAGTAAATAGTGGCTGACTGCTTTCATCATACATGGCATGGGAGTATATAATACATTTAACAGCAAGCAAACAAACCTCTTGCTCTCCAGTGTCCATATCATCTTGCGTTAAAGAGGTATCTAACCAGTGTCTTCATTTTCAATGGAGGTTCCACTGACTGCTTAAATTGTTCAGTGGGAAACCCATGGCTAGGACAAAGACTGGGGGGAAGGAATCTTGTGTTTCAGCATTTGTTAATTATGTATTGCATTGCCGATGAGAAAAATAGCATCAAGCTTGCTAAGCCTCTCCCCCTATTATCTTCTGAACCAGGTGTTGTGTAACAATTACAAGGTTGATGCGATTTCGTTGTTCAAAACGTCATCCTCGTGGGTCCCGGCGACTTCCGGCTCGATGCGTATGAAGACGTGTCGTTCTGCGGCAGCGCTCGTCATAATTTGTCGTTTTCATTGAGGTTTACCTTCTCGCCACACAGGTGGCGAGTTTTGTTTTGCCAGTCTAAACTGGGGCTGGCCCTTCAAAAGGCTAATGGATCACCGCCGTGTGCGAGTGGATTGGTGATAGTCATATTTTGACATGCAGTAAAGATCCGATACGCGCATGAATTCAGAAAAATGCTCGGAGGTACGATGGGTTGTTGTTGTGTACCGTCATGTGTCATATCTTTATCCGGCAACGTAAATGGTAACTGAAGCATGGCCGTTTTTAGCGCACAGATGACGTATATGCAGTACACGCATTTTGTTGGCAAACAGGTATCCCTACCGCCGCAGGTCGGTGCTTGACTTGGCCTGTGGTTAGAGCGCCAGGATAAAGATCGCCGTAGATGAAAGGATTAGGATAAAATTGCGAGATGTTTGGCATCAGCGCCATTGATAAGTGTCTTTATCGGTCGATACGGTGGCTATTAGAAGGAAAGATTGTGAAAGGATACGTCAACAGTGGTGGCGGAGGGAGGAGTGTGTTCGCATGGGCAGCGTGTGGCTCTTTGACAACCCCCTTGAGACGCTGCGAACATATCTTAGTATAGCACACAAAAATAAAACGCCATGAAATGCCTCTATTTGGCAAATGATGACTGAAGACTTAACAGGGTAAGACTAAGTGTATTGCAAAGCTTGAATATGTCCTGCCCAAAGCGATGCGGCATGTAGTATTTGTGCTGCTATGCTTGTTCGTGTCCGGACCTTACATGCACCTTTCCCTTGCAGTGGTCGTACACTGGAGAAGATCGAAAGATTTTGGTAACAATATTACCGTGCACTGTTCCATAAGAAAACGTGAAGCACTCAAAGAAGCTGATGAATGTGCGTGTTGATATGTGAACGTTATGCATTCGGATATCCGTCTGTGTAGTACAGAAGTAACGTGACACGATGGAAATGGATCGACCAACGGTGGAGAACTGGCTCAGAACGCTCTTTCTGGGCCAGTACTCGGAATCATTTCTGGACAATGGATATGACGAACTGGAAATATGCAAACAAATCGGGGAACAAGACCTTGATGCAGTTGGTGTGTTCAATCCGACACATAGGTTCAAAATCCTTGAAGCCGTCAGAAAGTTACGCGAAGAAGGGGCAACTGCAGTTTATTTTACCGTGGAAGAAGTCTTGAAGTCTGGTGAATGCAAATGTGTCGTCGAGAAAAACAGGAGAATGCCCACATACCATGCATCAAAGTACATCCCTCAGAAGATATGTCACTCCTGCGCTACAAATTCCGAGAGCATCAGTACGTGTGGCAGCCCGCCAGAACCAAAGGCGCCTCTGCCCGAACTGAAGAGACTGCCATCTCAGAAACTGAGACAAATGCTTCAAAACAAGCTGGTGATTGACGGCATAAAGCTGTACAACTCGCCGTACTCGACAAAGGTATGTGCCAGCCAGTCAAATTCATTATAGAATTCTGCGTGTCGTTTTTTCCCGTGTCATGTGTTCCATGAAACATCCCTCTTTAGCGATAATGGTTATGAAGTGCTCCCGCTTTACACACATGCTTATTGAGTGCCTGTGTGTACATGGTTTGTACACATGTGCATCACTTGTGTTTGTGTCGAAATCGTGCTCTCTCTCTCTATATCACATCGTTCAACGTTATAATGGTGTATACCACTGACCCCTGGCTGTCGAATGGGGAGAAGCGCCCGCCAGTGAGTGGCCCCGGCGGCGGCTAAACTGCCAGCAGTCCGCCCCCCGAGTCGGAGTGGCGTTACGCGCTCGTGACGCGCTGACCTGGCGCCCGTGTCCGCCAGGACGGCCAGACCGGCTATCTGAACGGGCTGGCGTCGCGCTACGCCGACGACGTGCAGACGCACTACCAGGACGTGCTGCAGCAGCTGGACGTGCTGCGCCAGCAGGCGTGGCAGCAGGTGTTGGACGGCGAGGTGCGCGGCGGCGCGGGCGCGCCCCCGCTGATGGCGCCTCCGCCGCCGCCGCCGCCGCCCCAGCAGCAGCAGCAGCCCGACCTGACGCAGTCGGCGCAGCCCATCTACCAGCCGGGCCAGTACCTGGTGAGTGGTGTCGGGCCGCGGCCGTCGCCTCGGGGGCCGCTCGCCGGCTGACGGGCAGTCAGCGGCCATCGAGATAGGCCTGCCCGGCTCGGGGTTAGCATGGGCCTGCTGGGCTCGGGGTCAGGATGGGTCTGCCGGTCTCGGGGTCAGGATGGGCCTGCTGGGCTCGGGGTCGGGATGGGTCTGCCGGTCTCGGGGTCGGGATGGGACTGCCGGTCTGGGGGTCAGGGTGGGCCTGCTGTGCTCGAGGTCAGGATGGGTCTGCCGGTCTCGGGGTCAGGATGGGTCTGCCGTGCTCGGGGTCGGGTGGGCCTGCTGGGCGAGGGGTCATTATCAAGATTTTGCAAGTGCAGGAATTCCGTGGACGTCCTAAAGTGAAGCTTCTCATCAAGAAGCTTCAAGAGAGGCGAAATCAAGAGATCAAGAGGGGCGAAAAGCTGCTTATGCGCGGATTTTCACCATTTTGTTTTCGATTTGCTAGACACTGCCCCGTGACTGTGGTCCGTTTTGGTAAACTGTCATACACTGTCGGGGTACACGTTTGGCTTTTGACATGACTGGAATGCAATGCAGGCTGACTGTTATTCAATGCAATATTTCATTTGGTACGGGTCATTGGGGGAAATCACAGCCGATGGGAAGGTCATCAGAACAAAGTCTCGGGCCAGGCCCTTGTAAGCAGGTACTGTAGACGCTTAAGGTTATGGCATGGAATTTTATCGATTCATCTCTGTTACAAATCAGTTCATTAACTCACTCATTCTTGCATGCATTTTTTATTCGTTCTCTCGCTCATTCATCCACAACTGTTACCTTTCTTCCTTTTCTGCAAAGCGTTTAGTGCAAGCTTGTTTTAGCATGCGTGATAAAAACTACCATAATAACCCCCTATAACCTTATATTCGTTACACAGATCAGGTAGTGTGCCATGGTTTGTGGCTGCTGGCGCCGGTGATGCTCCCCATCGCTTCGTAGGGGATCTCTTCGAGTGTAGCGCACCGGGGAAAAATACGTTGTGGGTTATATGGATGTGCATGTCTGTTGCGCGACATCTGAGTGTGACAGCCGGGTCCCCGTTCCAGCCGTCCAGCTGTCTGAGCGACAACGACGAAGACGAAATATACGGCTTCGGCTACGGCGTGTACGACAGCCGGGTGCTGAGCCAGCAGCACGCGCGCCGACAGGGGTTAGTGCCTGAGCCGGGCACAGCCGAGCTTGGCTCCGAGTCGGAGCAAGACGCAGCGATAAATGCGCCCTGTACAACACGCAATCATAAGATGCTCATTGCGCCTCCGTAAGACGAACGTTTATGAGACTGACAAACGCACATATTAGCACGCGATGAAAGTCATTGCTTTGAGGCTTTGAATCTGGTCACACTGCTTCTGAAAGTGATAAAAAATCAGCATGTAGATCAGCTTCCAAGGCGCCGCATTATAAAAAGTGTTTATCAGCTGTCGTGACCTACAGAACTATCCGGATATCACGATGTTTTCCCTTGTGCTGGGAACCTCCAGCAGTCTTTGTGTGCGGGCCATTCGAGCAGACATGTGCAGGAAAAAGCAGCCCGGTAAGATGCCGGAGTCCAATTTTGCTTGAAAACCGTTCCAAATGAAAAGGGCATGCTGCGGTCACTGTAACGCTAAAGAAGGAATCCGGATCGGCGCAAGATATTTGGACACAAAAGGGTGTTTTAGTGACTAACAAACATGATGAAGTGAAGCAGACGAATAAACGGCACAAAGTTGCAGTAGAGATCCTTTTCAATGAGAAAATCATTCAGTAATGTACAGCCTGTATTTGGAACAAGAGACGGAGTACGGGAATAGAAAAGTATAAGGGAATGGTCACGCGACAGATGGTGCGATGCGAGGACAGTCGTGGCTGACGAGCAGCGTTTAGCGCGTCCGACCGCCCCGTCTATTACCAGAGGCCTCAGTGCGCATGCGCTTGTGTGCCGACAGGCTGCGCTCCGGCTCTCCCTCCTACGCCGTGCCCCAGGACTGCGCTGCAGGTGAGATGGCGCCACCGGCCGAGCCCAGCGGGCTGACGGGCTGTCATCCAGGCTGCTCACGCCGCCGCGGGCCCGCTCGTACCGGCGGCGGTGTAACGAGCGGAGAGTGACCGCATTACCGGGGCCGGAGGCGGTGTAACAAGCGGAGAGGGTGACCGCATTACCGGGGCCGGAGGCGGGTGGGGGATGACGGCGGCGCTAGTTTAGGCATGGTATCTCCCATGTGTTGCCAGCAATGCGCATTTTTGCGATATGGTGCATGCTGTGGCGCGGTTTTCTCAGTCACCTTCGGCGGACTAGCCCCCTGCGTGTGCGCGGTCAGCTGGCGTCACAGTGTGCCGCTGCTCGCCCCTGCCGCCGAACCCGCAGTGTCACGCCGTTTCGTGACTTGCCTGTCTGTGTAGGGGCGCTGGCGCCCCCGGGGTCCTACTGACCGTGCCGGCTGTGTAGGGACCCTGCGTCCCGGGACTCTGCCGACCGTGCCGGTTGTGTAGGGGTGCTGCGTGCCGGAGCCCTGCTGACCGTGCCGGTTTGTGTAGGGCGCTGCGTGCTGGAGCCCTGCTGACCGTGCCGGTTGTGCAGGGGTGCTGGCGTTGCCGGAGCCCTGTTGACCGTGCCGGTTGTTGTGGGGGTGCTGCGTGCCGGAGCCTGCTGACCGCGCCGGCTGTGTAGGGGGCGCTGCGTGCCGGCCCCTGCCGACCGTGCCGGCTGTGTAGGTGGTGCTGCGTGCCGGCCCCTGCTGACCGTGCCGGCTGTGTAGGGGTGCTGCGTGCCGGCCCCTACTGACCGTGCCGGTTGTGTAGGGGTGCTGCGTGCCGGAAGCCCTGCCGACCGTGCCGGTTGTGTAGGGGTGCTGCGTGCCGGAGCCCCTGCTGACCGTGCCGGTGTGTAGGGGTGCTGCGTGCCGGAGCCCTGCTGACCGTGCCGGTTTGTGTAGGGGTGCTGCGTGCCGGCCCTGCTGACCGTGCCGGCTGCGTGGGGGTGCTGCGTCCCGGAGCCCTGCTGACCGTGCCGGTTGTGTGGGGGGTGCTGCGTGCCGAGCCCTGCTGACCGCGCCGGCTGTGTAGGGCGCTGCGTGCCGGCCCCTGCCGACCGTGCCGGCTGTGTAGGGGTGCTGCGTGCCGGCCCCTGCTGACCGTGCCGGCTGTTAGGGGTTGCTGCCTGCTGGAGCCCTACTGACCGTGCCGGCTGTCGTCAGCAGACGGTGCGGCTGGCTGGCGGACGTTCGGCAGCAGCGGCAGCGGCGGCGCGGTCAGCCCGGCCGCCAAGAAGCGTGGCCGCCTCGGCAAGCTGTTCCGCACACTCAAAATCAACCGGCACCGCAACTTCCCCAAGCTGGGCCGCACCAAGGTGAGAGAGGCGGCCGTGGACCGCTGGCCTCCGAGCCGGGCGTGCGTGGCGGCGTGGCCCGCGCGCGCCGGCCTTCCTGCGTGCTCCTGTCGGCCGCGGAGATGGGCTGCTTCGCTGCCACCGACTCCGTAGTTTAAAGGCCGGGCGCAAAATAGAAATGGTTGGAACTGCTTGTGTGCTTTTACTCAGTTCGCAGTTGCACTGGTATGTGGCTCATCGTGTATCATGCGTCCATGCACGCTCACGACGGGTGTGCATGTTGCAGTGTAGATACAGCACATGAGCTCGGCGTGCGCGGATTTCCGCGGCAGTGAACTTCCAGGGTATAATAACGTGCCTTGCGTTTGTCGACATGCCTCTTTCCACCACGCCGATACCACGCCACGCAATATATTTGTATACGTGCTGAGGTATAGCTGCCTGTGCTGACTACATTTGCAGAGTGTTGTGTGGTAGGTGATCTACGCCGCTGGTTTGTGAACATATGATGTGTTTTTAATGACATCAACGAGGAATAGGAAATACCTTATCTATCGGCGCAGTCTGTCTGGCTTTTGCAGCGCAGCTTAGGATTACGGATTGTGGGCTTTGACGTTAATTTTCCTCGAGAGCTTAAGTCTCGAGATGACAGGTTTGGGTTGGTATTATTTTTCGGCATTGATGGATTTCATGAGAACACATTGTTACGTTCTGCGATTCTGACCTTAGAATAGAAATAAGCAAAAGAGCGGTGGAGTAATTTGGAAACTACTCTGGACACCTTTCTGTCGGCCATTATGGGTTTTTGCGACATCGACTGGCAATGTGTGTTATTATTCGATGGCAGACCTTCCGATTGTCGCGTGAAGACGTCTGACGTTTCCCTATAACATGCCGCGTGCTGTGTGCTGAGGGATGATTAACGTCGAAATTTGGTAGGCAATTTGCCTGGAAAGTATCTCCCTCATCATGCACACAAATGCCAACTCTGTCGGCAAATGTACACATTTGTTCGGATGCACATTCGGTGTGCTCTGTCTGAGATGACCCAACGAACCAGTGCTTTGCGTTGCCAAGAAGAGCTTGAACACACCTCAATATCAGCAAAGGCATTCGTCGGACTTTACTTCGCCGGCACCGAGGGCAAATACCCTTACAGCGTCTCTGAGTGTTTGGTGACTTTGCAGCTCGGAATTTCAATGCCTGTCGATCAACGAAAATCCCTGAGCTCGGTGGCATCGCGGCTGTTGTCCAGGGGTGCTCCAGGGCGCACTCTCGGCGCCCTGTGTCGCTGATCGGCGGTTCTCCGTGTCCGCTGCAGGGGGGTCGGACGCTGGCGGGGCCCGCCGGTCCGGTGCTGCTGCCGTCCTCGACGTCACATTACGCACCCTCTGGTTCCATATACCGCCAACAGATGTCGCCCAACCGCACGCTGGAGGAGGGAGTACAAATGGTAGGTGATGTGTCCCTCGTAGCCGTTACGTTTGTTACCAGTTCCAGGGACCAGTTGGGCACCGATCGTTGAGGTCCATGGACCACACGGCATTTGTCGCGGTTCGATCAGTGCAATGAACCATCGCTTGGTATCTCTTCCATGGCATTGAGATCTGGGGGCTTTTTGAGTTGCAAAACATGTGGTGTGCACCATGAACGTAATGCTAATCTTCGAGGAAAGGCCCCTCTCCTTATTTTCAGCCCAAGCATCTTCAATCTTGCGATATTGGATTCGTGACAGAAACTTCATGAAAAGCATGATGTAAATTATTGGGTTCGTGAACCAGAACGGCACAAGGCAGCTTTGTCTATCATGTTTGCATATGGCTACAACAGTCATGCATCTCAGTGGTAGTGGCTCTTAAACAATGATGCCATGCATTAGCGCATAACGTCGCGGCGCTGTGGAGAGAACGTTTTCTGCCGTCCAAAGGCAAACACGCCTAAGGGTCATTTTTCGGAAATGTAGTCAGTTTTATCATTCGATGCTGTCAAAAATAAACTGTATCTTGTCATGTAAAGTACAAACTGTAAAACGTTTTCACAAGGTGGGAATTTAATTCACCCAAACCTAGGAATGTTTCCCCTAAACGATGGACCTAATGGTGCTGAGGGGTTTTTGCCTTGGCATGGCAGAATTGCAACAGTTCAAACATTTCAAGAATTTACTTCGTTCTTCAGTTGCGGGGATCACAGCCATATTTTGGGAAAACTTAACGCGAGTTCAAGATACCGAGAGAAGTGCAGTTGGCTGCAGGTCGGTAGTCACCGGTGTTGACGGCTGGCTGTTGTGTGTCCAGTTTAAGGAGCTGGAGCGGGAGCGGCTGCAGCAGCGGCGCCTGCAGGAGTCGGCCGCCCCCATGGTATGTAGCGTCCCGTCTGCCGCCAGCCACGCCCCGCATAACAAGGGCGGGTGGTACGCGGCTAGCCCGCGGCACGAGTGTACTAACGCCTTTTGTGCCTGTATTCCTATGCCTTTTATTCATATGTTTCTGATTTATGTCCTCATCATTGCATTACATCCGTGTCTGCAGTATGCTGTCGTGCACAGGAAGTACTTACGAAGTCTTATAGATCATTGATATGATTGTGATATATCACTTATCATGATGGTAATATATCACCGATAATGGCGGTGATATATCAGGATAATGATAGTGATAGATATTGGATAATGGTGGTGATGTATCATTGTCCATGATTGTGATATGTCGTTGTCAATGATTGCGATATATCACAATTTCTATTATCGGAGTGTTATGTGATTTACGATACCACATGTCCACACACTCTTCAGGAGGGCAATCGAGGTGTCTGGTCCCACAATATTATAATCCACTGGTTTCAACAATGATTGTATCTCTCTTTGTTTCGGCTTTTGGCAAACTAAATTCCCCCCAAAATCAATTCTTTTTCATCCAACAATCGCGTTAGTGATGAAGTTGGCAGGTTTTTTAAAGACAAAAGGTTGTTTGGTTATCGGCAGTAAATGAACCGGTATTCAGTGTATGGGCGGTGTAATAAAATTATGCCTAATATAAATTAGATTGTTGTCGGCCATCTCAAACACCCGCCATGCTAAGGTGGAAAATTCGTCCAAAAGGGCAAATGTAACATCATTGAGTCAGTCACTGGCTAACGCAGCTCATACCATCTTACGTGCCAGCGCTTCTGTTCACAACGTAGAGACGGAGAAAGTCTGATTAGTGTGCGGCTGCACCAATGTGTTAGTGATGACACAATCTTCTCCGTCATCAAATTTGTCGTCAGATTTTAAGTTCTTAGTGATTTGGCCCCTGATTTAAAAATTCGCTTTTTCCTCTGCACAAAGTCCTGTTGCTTTGTTTTGAAACATACAGTTCTGTCCTTTTTTAATCAGGCAAATGCTCTAGAAAATGCTCCGGTTTTCCCTCACAAATTGTCGAAGATCTTAATCTTCTTGAGACAAATAATTTAACAACTCAGTTAATATATTTACTTGACGTGTGAATCTTATCGCTAGCTTACACCCGATATCGACAAACTGGCTCCACTGCTTGATCAAGCAACCCAAGCCATCAGAGACACGCCTCAATCTCTTGATCCATTCAGTGGAAAGCCGTACCACACAAAGACTGATTTGAAGCGGGGCATGTCTGTGGAATTCCGTTATTGCATCTACATTTTAAAATGTAGATGACTCCATTGGGCTAATGATTCCATTATTCCATTGAGCGAATGATTTCATTGAGCGAAAATACGCATCAAAAGGCTTTAGGGAAGGCTTCGAGAGTTGCTGCTGGATTTCCCCGCGAACAAACGTGTGTCAGCGGAAATGTGCTTCATTGGACGGGACCCGCCTTTCCGAGAGCGGCGCACGGCGAGGTGACTCCGGTCACGCCGCACTGCCGTCCAGGGTAGTGCGGCGCCGTCCAGGGCAGAGACGCCAGCTCGCACCTGTTTGGAACGCCTCCCCGTGCGCGGCATTCCAACGCCCTCCGCGTCCCGCCGCTCGTTGCCGCCCACAACGCGGGAGGGGCGCTGTGGGACAGTGACAGCCCTCCCAGGAGCTGCGCATAGTGATCTAGAAGCAGCCGGTCTGATCTGACCTGTTCCTCGTGCCTGTGCGTCTCCAGGGAGGCCGTTGGACCCAGCCATCACGGGGCGATTTGATAACGTCAAGTGCATGGGCCTGTGGTGGCGCCACCTTTACTACTGCGTATCTATAGCTCTACTAAACGTTGTTTAGTGCAGCGAGTCGAAATCACCCCAGCAAACAGTGAGCAAAGACCGGAATGGCTGTTAGTAAAGGGCCGAAGGGAACCGAAAACAGGCTCTCCAAGATGGACTAACCAACACCAGCATTGCAAAAAAGCCTAACACTGAGAGCCCGAAAACGTCCGTAGGGTGTGGCGTGTCTCCCCTTCGACATTGAACACTGCGGTTTAGTCATGGTTGTGAAGGGTTGTGATTTAAACGTCAGCTATATGGATGATATACGCGCCACGCTTAATTAACGAGGGGGCATCTGGTATGTCAGAAGATCAGCGCAGTGACCACTGCGCTGAGCAATCTACTTGCAGATGTAATTTAACAAGTTCTTGTATTTCTAGGCGCCTTTACCAACTGCCGTTGCCGACCCTGTCATTGAAATGATTGCATTGACGTAGGAAGTCTGCCATTTGTATGAAGTATCCATATTCATTTTATTTGTTGTGCTTTGTAGCCTACGGAAACCATAGAAAAGATAGGCGCTCAACTCAAATGTGTATATTTTCTTGCGTTGTAAAAATACAAGTTCGCTGGGTCACGCGAAATGATACGCGTAAGTATTGCTGGGCTCATATGTGTGGGCCTCGTTAACATGTCGTTTCTTAAGGCGCAACAGCTCTCCAAACGGTCCGTCCTTCAGACGGTGCGTGTATTTAGCAAAACACGTCTGTTGGATGGCAACACCAACTCATTATTGATTTTTTTAAACGTGTCCCTTCAGTGAATGACGCGCACAACATTATAGCAACAGAAGAAACTCTGCTTAAGTGAAAGCGGAGCTAGTCGCAGCTGGAAAGTGAACTAGAAGTTGCGCTAGAAGACGAACGTTTCAGGAACTAAGCTGCGACAGCGGCAGCGAGCAACCTGCAAATTTTGCAGCAAACAGTGGAGCGTCGAAGAAATGGAAACATCACCTTACGCGAACACCCCGGCTAAAGGGCAATTCTTTTGAGTTTGGAGGTTTTTCGGCTAATTCGTGCAGCGCTCATGTTGATAAGTACATTGCGATGAATATTTTGAATCATGCCGTATTTACCTGGCAGCTGATCGGCTTAGACTACGGGCAATCCGACCGACTATATTTGTACCGTGTCGTTCCGTAACCAACCGATGCATCGGGATTCTAACGTTTAATGCTCAGATAAGGACTCTGGCTCACGTTATGTGACAAGAATAGCGAACTGCTGAAAAAAAACTGTTACGGATTCGGACTGCGTAAAAGGAGTTGACTTATGGAACGGTCATTTAACATCCATCATCGTCAGGAGAATTGGACTGCGCAAAAGCCGTAAAAGGATTTGATTTTCTCAAATTACACCCGATGCTAGTACAAACTACGAACGGGAAGGAGTTGCGGATGATAAAAAAAAATGCGGACATGATACAGAAACCCCCAAACCAGATATTTACCAAGAATAATAGAGTGGTGAAGACCTGGAAATGAATGCAAGTGGACACTTCGCGGCGATGATTCGCAACCCCACTCGTTAAATTCAGGTTCTGCACACAGAACTGCCGTCTTATATGAGGTCGAACACAACTCATGCTCAGCTCGGTCGGCATTCGTGAGCGAACGGGTCCCCTGGGCCGGTACAGATGCGGGCCAAGCCGTGCGCACCGGTTGCGCTCCTGCTTACCAGGTTACGAGGGCGGGGTGGGCCGGGCCGGCGGCGCGCGACGACCCGGCCCCAGCCCAGCTGCTATTGAACCGACGCACAGCGGGACAGGGCGGCCTCTGAACCGCCAACAATGCAAAGGAGCGGTCAGATAGTCCCAAAACTCGTGTAAATAGGTTCTACGCTCAGAATCCTATTCGGATGCGTTGCGTGAGCGTGACTGTCATCCAAACTCCTTAGGGGGGGGGGGGGGGGAGGGAAGGGGCGTCGGTTGATTAAACCTCACACCTATGTGGTTCAAAGGTAGTTCTGGAACGAGTCTCATCAGACGTACTTATCAGAGCAAAAAATAGCGAGTCGCATCGCCAGTATATTTTTTTTATTTTTCATCAGATGATCTTACGTTGTTTCGTACAGTTGACGTGTCATTTCGGTTTGAGTGGCGTCCCATCTCGTCCTACCGTCTCGACGTAGCCTTTCTGATATCCGCAGAGTATGGCTGGTTGGCGTCAAAGCATGCCGCCGTGATTTCCAATGTGTGAAGTGAGGCCATCGTAAGGCCGTCTGATGCCATTTTCTGATTATTATCTTCGTGACCTTGCACTTACACTTCATACACGACGACGGCAACTGGGTGCTGCAAAATGCATACCAATTTTAACGATTTTCAAGGCCAGAATCGAATTCCCCTTGACGTGAACTGACTGTTCCGCCACCGCCAATTGATGTGAGACGTTCTCACTCATGGTGCGACGGTCTACGGGGTTACTTTGGCACATTCTTCAGTTAGTGATCTCATGTAACCGCGATCATGGCTAACCTCTGCTAAAGTCACGGTCATTGATATTGGATGTTACCTAACCACTTCAAGCCATCAGAACCATTAGGCAAAACGACGCAGCGAATTTAGTGCCAGGACACAGGACTACGGTTGTTCACATTCGCGCCGAGATAAAACATGGTTGAAAGCTGCAGATCAGTTGCACAAATATTTTGAATTCAGCTTACCCGAATTCCTGTACGATCCTCCTCAGTCAGTGAAGGGAGTGTTCCACATTTGTGGGAGGTTTGAACTGAAAAAGCTATTTTGAAGGTCATTCGGTGTAGTTCATAGCCCTGTCCGTAAGACCTAAAACCCTTGAGGCTCTGAGCTAAACGTCCGCGAAGATGTGCAGACTTTTTCGCGCAGATTTTGGAGGTTGTCCAGGCATCCGTAATGCCATAGTAACTACATTCAAATCCCGCGGTTCATTGGCGATGCGCCGGTCAAGGTCAATGCAATTAGAATTGTCGGGATGTACATATCAGGCGTTTTTTGAGCACGATTTCCAGATGTAACGTTGGTCAGTTGACTCTCAGCCAATGTTTAGCACACTATGCAATGTTTTAATACGACTTGCGTTTTGTGCAATATAATAGAGGAAGTTATACATTCTGTCTAGCTATTACCGAAATAGGTTTATGCAATCGAAGAACTTAATCATAGCGCTTTGACG